CTCTAAACCCCTAACCCTAAACCCCTAAACCCTAAACCCTAAACCCTAAACCCTAAACCCCTAACCCCTAAACCCTAAACCCCTAAACCCCCCTGAACCCTTACCCCTAAACCCTAAACCCCTAAACCCCAAAGCCCCTAAACGCTTAACTTTCAGTTCTGGGCTCGTTCTTGGGACCCGAAATTCAGAACCCGGTCTCAGGGTCCTCCAATACCCCTTAATTAAGGAAGATACCTTAAATCATAGGGGCCTTAAAGGGATCTATAAGGGTCTAGCGTCTAGGGTTTAGGAATAGACCTTAAATCATATTAAGGATCCTACTATAATTTAAGGTATGTTCCTTAATTAAGGGACGTTGGAGTCTTTGGAACCCGGTCTCGGGGTCCTCCATAGAGTCCTCCCGTCGCAGAAAAGCTCGGTCCTGTCGCTTCTTTTACATCTACAGCCACTGGAGCTCCTACTTGGGGGGGACTTAGTAAGGGCTGTAAGCAGGATTATGGGTACCCTCAAAACCCTAAACCCTCAAAGCCCTAAAACCTAGAGCCTCAAAGCCCTAAACTCCTGATCCTTGGCGTTCTGGGGCTTGTTTGGGTCTAAAGTCTCGGGTCTTGCGGTGGTGGGGTCTACTTGGCGCTTTGCAGCTCAGCACGTTTGAGTTTAGGGCCCCTGGCTTCGGTTTTAGGGGTTAAGGTTTGGGGGCTTTGGGTTTAGCCACATGCCTTTGTTGCAGGCTTTCGGGGAATTTGTTTGTCGTTGAGGGCTGCAGCGTTTGATGGTGTAGGTGGCCTCGGCAATGCACGGTTCAGGGCATGGCTTAGGCACCACTAACAGTTCAACCCTCTGGGAGGTCCTTGGTTCAGTTCGCTTTCAGAGTTTCGCTTTAAGCGTTTCGGGCTTAGGGTTATAGGGTCTAGGTTTTTTGGTTTAGGGCTTCAGGTTTAGGGTTTAGCCAAGACAGCGAGCCACAGCTCCGAAGAAGTATAAGGAATCGTGTAGGGGCGGGAGGGGGTTACCCTAACGGTCGATGTACCCTTCAAGTACCTACAGTCTCCATTGTAGTTCCTTTTTCTGGTTTAACCAAATTTTAGCTTTTATAAGGTATCCCCAAAAAGGAACTACAATGGAGACTACAGGTATTTAGTTTGGACTTAAAGTGTCCCTATACGGTACATTGGGGCCAAAGTATATGCTATTTGGGCCCTAAACCCTTAACCCTGTCTGGGCACATGGGCCCTGAATGGTCGGTTTTGCGATAGTGCGGCGCAGGATTCTCGACGATGACTCGTAATATGGCCACTTCCATGGCTACTTAGACGAAAAGGCCGGACATCCAGAGTCACCAAAATAGAGGCTTGAATAATTTCATGAGGCCCCTGGGGCTATATATATATATATATACACACACACCTAAACCCTGAACCCTAGACCCTAAACTATATATATATATATATATACTAGTCCACAGTATCAGGAACTCAAGGGCCTTAGATCTTATTAAGGGTCCTACTATAATTTAAGGTATACTCCTTACTTCAGGGATAATGGAAGATTGTTGCACCCTGCTTGGAGGATCGGGGTAGTGAGTCACAGAGCCGCTGTGGTTGCGGTATTAGGGTTAGGGTTTAGGGGTTAGGGTTTAGGGTTTAGGGTTTAGGGTTTAGGGTTTAGTGTTTAGGGTTTAGGGTTTCGGGCTGTGGGGGTATATGGGTAGTTCTCTTACAGGGTCCAGTTGCTGAGTCCCCATAGATAGTACGGCACCCTTATGAACAGGACCCTAAAAGGGACCCTAATTCAGAGAAATACGGTTGATGGACAAAATCCTGCATGACCTTAAGGACCCTAAACTTTGGGAATTATGGTATATTCCTTATAGTGGGTAATGCAGGATTTTGTCCATCAACGTGCCTCGTTTAGAGATATAAGGAATCATCACTTTGCTTTTTAACCCCCCACAGCCCCGAAACCCCAAAACCTACTAAAGTCCCAAACCCCCACAACCCCCTAAACTCCACAACTCCCTAAACCCCAAAACCCCTAAACCTCCACACTTAGAAACCTACCCTAAAACCCCGAACCCTAAACCACAAACCCTAAAACCCTAAAACCCCTAAACCCTAAACCCTAAACCCCTAAACCCTAAACAAAAAACCCTAAGCCAGAAAGGGTTCACTTGACTTTGGAGCCCAAGTGCTCAGGTCATCGGGGCTCGGAAGCATTTTTATATGACAATATAGAGGCCTTAATAGCTAGAATAGGGTTTGGGGGTATAATATACTAGAAATATAATAAGGAACCCACCAAAATAGTATAGGTAGTTATTGAGGCCCCTAAACCCCAAACCCTTGTAGTAGCCCTGATAGAACACTTTGAGAAACCCTTTAAAGGAGCCCCACAACCCTATTCTACTTATTTAGGCCCCTACCCTAGCCTAAACCCTAAACCCTAAACCCTAAACCCTAAACCCTATTCTAATTATTTATAAGGCCTCTGCATTCCATTATTTACGGGGTCCCAAGCATCACGGCAGCCCCCTTCAGAAGCTTCCAGGTTTCGATGTTGCCCGATCTTCGGGCGGCTCAGAGTCTCTCGAAATGATTTCAAGAACTACCTTAACCTAACAAAACCTACTTTTTTGTAAGGTCCCTATAAATTCCATATTAGGGTTTATCATAAGAACCTACAAAAAAGTAGGTTTTGGGAGGTTAAGGTAGGCCTATAGTCTCCATTGTAGTTCTTTTTTTTGGTTTAGCCAATTCTATATTAAGGATTCTATAAGATAACCCCAAAAGGGAACTACAATGGAGCCTATAGATAGGGTTGATGATATAAATCCTGCATTACTCGTAATAAGGAATAAGGAATATAGCGTAGTTCCCAGAGTTTAGGGTTCTTAGCGTCACGGACGCTGGCGTTGAAGGAGCCCTTTCCGCAGCACATATCTGACAGCTGCCACAGCGCAGTGGCCCTGAACTCGTTGCTCTCTTGTGTCCTCTCTGTGCCTCCTGTTCCGGGCATGGCGACCAGCCCTGGAAATGTAGGGTCCCTCCACGTATGCACGGCAGGGGGAAGGGAGATCCTGCATCCCCTTTCCAGCACCCTGACGGTGGAGCAACTGAAAGGGCATTTGCGAACACGATTGGAGACTCCTGTAGCCTACCTGAGGCTTTTGCATGGCATGGAGGAGTTGTTGGACGACTGGGTTCTCATGGAGCATGGGGTTTCGAACGGTGCGATCTTGACTCAGGTGGCCTCTTGGCTTCCCTTCGGTCTCTTTGGCTTCGATAGCCATCACCAAGACTTCTGCCCTGCGGGCCGAAACACCACAGCGACTGTGCATGTTGACATTCGTGACGATGGCACCTTCCACGTAAGGGTCAAGGAAACGGAAATTACCTCTCTTCTGCAGGGACCAGACTGGGATCCGTACCTCGAGCGGGCTGCTTTTGCTCAGCAGTACGAAGGATCGGTGCGTGTTGGGGAGGGATCTCAGTTGGTTCTCTCTGTCTCCCACTGTGACCGGAGGGGCATCTTCGTTGATGAAGAGCCCACAGAGTTGAGAGGCGAACTATGTCAGGATGCCAGTGAGGTCAAGTTAGAGATACCTTTTGCTGCCGGGGCCTGCAACGAGGGACGTGCCGGTTTGAAATGGCTCACAGTTTCACAGAGCCATGTACCTCAGATCGACGACTCTCCAGACAGCTCACACCGAGCTCGGAGATTTCTAAGGCTACAGAGACCCCCTGCCACTCAGCAAAGTCGCCTCAGAAGAGTGCTGTCACGTGCTTTTGGATGTTTCTCGAGGCCGGAATGAACAGCTGCGACTTCCCTTCGGGCCTCGTTTCGGGATTGTTCGAAAACTAGCGTTGTTAATTGCAGCCCCGTCTAGTCCATCTTTGTAGAATGCACAGGTATCCTGAACTTGGAACAAGGCGGTCTGAACAGTTGGTTAAAATACACCCTTTGTTGTCCCTGCAGCAGAACTAGAACTATATACTATAATACACCGCCAAAATCTCATTGCATGCTTTCTTGTCGAGCAACCCTGAAACCCCCTTCCATCTGCCGCGCATGTGCAGAATGGGCCAAGAAGCCGAATCTGTGGCTCCAAGTGCCTACTGCCTTAAGGGTGAGAGCGACGGTTTAGGGCTAAGTTACACCCCTTCAGATAAGGAGTTGTACCTACTAATAGCTGAACTGTGCTAGGGTATATCAAAGGTTTAGGTACCATAGAGTGAAGGGGTCATGCCCATTATTTTGTAGGGCTTGGGGTCACAGGAGAAGCTTCAGCCCGTGTGCAGCAGCGGAGCTAATCCTCAGACAGCAGATGCCGTGACCTCAACGGACAAAATGACTTTCGCACGCGCTGCGCCGACCCTGCTGTTCCATCAAGACCCTGTGCTTTCCTTTCCCAGTTTTGATGCAATGCGTTGCCAGGTGATGTCCCCGGTGGATGGTGCCGGCGGGATAGAGGCCCGGTTTAGAGCGAATCAGGTTCGGAATTACTTAACAAGCAGAGTACCGAAGCAAATAGGTGCGATCATAGTGCAATTATATCGGAGTTTGGTAGGGATATTCTATACCAACTCGTTACTATCTGCATCTCCGCTCTGCGCGCGGAGAAGAGCTTTCGTTGCCCACCAACCTCCTTGCAGGATGTATACAGGTCCATCGCGCGTCTTTTTGAAGAAGGCATCTCTGTGTCTACGAAGAAGCAGTCATTCGAGGAGACGAGTCAAGCCATTGAGAATGCCACCCTTTCGGCGAAAGATTATCGTCCGATGATTACAACTGTGGGCGACTGCAGACATACCGCGCAGACTTCTTGCGAGCAGAAGTGAGCTATTCTCTTGCTTGTCCAAGTAAGCTGGTTTTCGTATTGAGCGGTGTTTTGCTTTCAAGACTAGCCCTCAACCCTAAACCATAAACCCCAGGCGTGAAAGCCAAAGGCTCGAAGCCAAGCGCAGCAACACGAGCATTTACGAGAGAGAGGGAGAGACAGAGAGAGAGAGAGAGAGAGATATATATATATATATATATACATATAGATATATACATGTACATACATATATATATATATATATATATGAGATAGAAGATATGAATATATATGATCTGATATTTATGTATGCATGTAGATAGAGTAAGGAGACCACAAGACCCTAAAAGTCCTCAGGCCCGATAGGGACTTGCAACACCCTCTAAAGCCCGATATATGCAGTTCTTATCAAAGCCTCAACCTAAAACCCTCAACCCCAAGAAGCCCGAGACTCTATCCTAAAATCCCACATCCGCAAACCCCCACAAACCCCACAAAACCCTAATGTAGGGGCCTTAATTCATAATTAGAACAGGGGTTTTGGGGGTTCCTTGTTCTGATTATAGTACTACATACCCCAAGGCCCTGTTCTAATTATTGAGGCGTCTGCATGAAACCCCAACGCAAGTCCTTCGAAGGTACCCGAAGCTGGCCCTGCTCCGGCAGCACCAGAGCAAGGGGGCCCGAGATGACATTAGCTTTAGGGATAAAGGGGTTTGGGGGGAGGGGGGTTAGAGTTTAGGGTTTAAGGCTGCGGTTTAGGGTTATGGTTTAGGGTTTAAAGGGGTCCAGAAATTTGGGGGGAGGTGTTGGCAGCAAGGGGCTTATACAGCTTTGGGGTTCGAGGTTGTGGGTTGCGGATCCAAGTAGGGATGTTCGGGGGCTCGGGGAGTGTTGGGTTGGTTTCATTGGGTTTTGCGCCTCAGAGTTTTGGTGCTTCGTTATCTCGGTCGTCGGGAAGTGTGCTTCAAGGCTTAGGGTCCAGGGCTTACAGCCGAAGATGCTTTTTGTACGGTTTTTGTCAAGGGCATTGTTGAAACTGATATTAGTGTAGCGTAAGGAAAGTTAAAGCGGCGTTAAACGGCAGTCCACTCTACACGTCGAAGCCCTTGAATGAAGTGCCCGCGAAAACCCGATAAAACCTCACCAAGGCCTTACAAACCAGGCCTTACAAACTCTTCCCAGAGCCCATGGAGAATCCTCCGCTGCCCAGGACCTCCCCCGTGGACGTTCCCGTTCCCACACATCGGCCGTCGCCAACGTCGCTACAGGAGCCGGGCGACCAGGAAGAGGCCAGTTTCGTGAACTTCCTCCAGTTTGTTTTACCCTAAACCCTAAACCCTAAACCCTAAACCCTAAGCGGAGGTTTCTTAAACAAACGGGGAGGGGGGGGGGATACATCTAAAGGATTTGGTTCAAGCCTGAGCTCCCCTATTCGGAAGCCCGACAGGTAACGACTCAGACAGCATGGCTTCAGGGTCTTGGGTTTGGGACGCTGAGGCTGCCATCTTCTGGGGTGTTTGTGTGGGTTTAGGGTGTGTTTAAAGTTTGGGGTTTTGGGTTTGAGGGTTTAGGGTTTGTTTAGAGTTTGGGGTTTAGCGGTTTGGGGTTTAGGGATTTGGGGGTTTAGAGTTTATGGCAGAACCCTAAACCTTTAAGCACCTGAATCATCCAAGATACCTTAAATTTGAACCCAAGGCTTACAATAAACTCCAAGCCACGAATCATGAATATCCTCAAGCCCCAACCCTAGCTCGAGACTCTAAACCATTCTAAAGCCAAAACCGAAAATTCCCAAACCGCTCAGAGACTGAAGCTTGAATACAAAAACGAAACGCCTTTGATTACAACAGGATCCATAATGACCTAATGTGAGTAGTTCTCTAAATTGGGGTCCCTTTTTAGGTTCCCAATATAGTACAGCACCCCGAAAAAAGAAACCGAATATTTGGAAAAAAATGTACCCTTATTTCTAGGGGGTTACTGGGAAACCTAGGGCACCTGTAATGAAGGCATCCTGGCCCCTGCAAGGAAACCTCCTTATAAAACCTTCTACTTAGGCGCCTCGAAGCCCGTTCATCCAACCTGACATTCTTCCCGTCTTTCTTTTCTACAGCGATAATATAGGGGCCTTAATAATGAGAATAGGGTTTGGGTATATTTCTACTATAGTTATAACAAGGAACCTCCAAAACCCTATTCTAATTATTAAGGCGCTCCCGTTTCCTACAGCTATACCCCATCTGAAACCCTCTTGGTGTAAGTTAACACTGCGAAGACCCGCAGAAGCGCTGACGTCAGGTCGCTTCTGCGCCGCTGATGGAGTCGGCACGGGGCCCAGCTCCTGCCCATGTCAGATTTTGGGGGGTTTAGGGTTTAGGGTTTGGGGTTTAGGGTTTAGGGTTTAGGGTGTTTGGGGGGCTTTGGGAGGTCGGCTGTAGCTGAGCACATATGGAGGTTCAGTTCTCCAACAATCTCCAGGTTGTGGGATCGAGCAGGTTATGTAATCAGGACTGAGTTCTTTTAAAAAAGATCTCTAACTTCGAAGGACTGTAATTTTGCGGATTCATCGTTGGAATCCTTATTGAGGGCGGGGGAATGCGATAGCCTAGGACTTTGGACTCTCAAGCATGTTGAGTTCAGAACCATCCGAACAGGCCTAGCCATGATTGACGTTGCAAGAACTGATCAGTATATTCCTTTCGAATCGAAAAGAACCCCTCCTTCCCGTGCCCTCTCCCACCCCTCAAGAAAATAGTCTATTCACGCCACGACTGCATTGAAGACCAGCATTGCCCCAAAACCAAAGGCAGGAAACCTAATATAGAGGCGTAAGTAATTGCCAGTGGTATTTTGGGAGTGCCTTATTCTAACTGTAGCATAAAAAACCCCAACACCCCAATCTAATTGCTAAGGCCCCTACATTAAAGCTAGTGATCCCCCTGCCTGCGCACCAAAGCCCTAAACCCCCAAACCCCTAATCCCGAAACCCTAAACCTAAACCCCTAAACCCTAAACCCCTAAACCCTAAACCCTAAAACGAACCTACAAGGAACCTGAAATCCTGGCTCCTGACACCAAGGCCCCACCAGAGGAGCCGACGCCCACAGAGCTTCCAGTGCCCACAGCCGGCGCCCCAAACGACACGCGGGCGTTTGGGGTTGAAAGGTTTAGGGCTTTGGGTTTGGGGTGATTGAAAGGATTTAAACTGACTTATAGGATGTTTTGCAGGGGAAGGATGAAGGCTGCAACGTTGGGCTTTTATGTTTTACGGCTTTTGGCTTTCGAGTTTACGGTTCTCTCTGTGTTGCAGTATCTCAGGGTAAATGGGTTTTGCAGAACTTCTTGATGTAAACCTCGAGCGAAACCCTGAACATTTAGGGGTTGAGAGCATGAGCATGAATGGCCCCCAACTGTGCTTCTTCCTCACCCTGGCCCTAACTACGAAACCATTTCCGGCCAACCAGATGGCTTGAATATAAATTGCGAGGGGTTTATTAACTACAGAAAGGAATGCTGTGGGGCTCCTGGTTTTTCACACGCAGAACTTTAACTAACAGTCCGAACAGGGACCATGGGTAGCTTTATTTATGGCCACTATGCTCCAGCTGGCGATCGAGCTGCTTTGGAGGGCCGACGGATGCCGTTGGAGGGTCGATGGATGCCGATGGCATCCTTGGTATTTCCGGTAAACGCGAGTCACGTGGCCGGGCCCACGTCCCAGACGCCAGCCAAAACCCCCCTGACCCTATAACTTTCCGAGCCGCAACTGAGGATCGGAGCAAAAGGTCCCACAAAGCAGACAAAATCAAGAACTGCACCCTGAACCCTAAAAAGGAGCAAAGCGGGCATTAGCTCTGACAGAAGAGCCGGCAGCTGCGGGCTAATATAGGGGCCTAAATAACTACCTATACTATGTTTTTTTTTGGGGGGTGGTCCTTACTATGAATATAGTATAATATAGCCCAACACCCTGTTCTGATTATTAAGGCCCCCAAACCCTAAAGCCTTATAGTAGCCCTTATAGAGCCCTTTAAGGAACCCTTTCAAGGAACCCCAAAACCCTGTTCTAATTGTTAAGGCCCCTTCAGTAGGGATTTGCGAGCTAGGTTTCGGGTCCCTAAATCATATCGGGTTGCGGACTTCGGAGGGTCCCCTTGTTGCCGTGACTAGCTACTGAGGGCACCGAAACCTTAAGTCCTTGAGCTTCTAGACACATTCTTGTCGACGGTTTGACACCAGAACCCTACCAAAAAAACGTTTTTTTAGTGGTGAAGGGGTTATTACAGAGTATGGGCGTGAGACGTGTTTGTGATAACCCTAAACCCTAAACCCGCTTATAGTCGGCACCTGGCTCTACCATAACATACCCCGAGACCGCAGTCTGAACCCCCTTTACTGGCTAACATAGGAGCCTTAAGAAATTACCTATACTATTGTTGGGGGGTTCCTGTTATAATTATGGTACACTGGGGCCCCCCCAAACCCTATTCTAACTGTTATAGTGAGCCCCAAAACCCTATCCTGATTATTATAATGGTCCCCAAAACCCTATTCTAATTATTATAATGAGCCCCAAAACCCTATTCAAATTATGATAATGGGCGCCAAACCCTATTCTAATTATTAAGGCCCCTATATTCCCTAACCCTCCAGGTACCTACTCTATAGGGCCTTAGGGGCTCTAGTACCCTGTAGGTAACTGGGGGGTTAGGGAGTAAGATTTAACACTCTAGAGCCAGCAACCGAGGACAAGAGTGGAACCGAGAGGTCCGAGAGGAGGACTTTCTGATGCAAAGTAGGATTTTAGGGTTTAGGGTTTAGGGTTTAGGGGTTTAGGGTTGAGGGTTTTTGGATTTTAGGGAATTTAGGATGCCGTATTGGCCTTAGGGTTTAGGGTTTAGGGCTTAGGATTTTAACATAGGCCTATGGCGTGTTTGCAAGAGATTTCCTGTGGGTTTTTATTGGGTCTATCTTTAGGGTGTCTTCCAGGCTCCTAATCTGAAGGCTTGAATCATCAGAATAGGATAGCAGGGTTTCTGGGTACATCTTCTAGTGTACTGCATTCAGTGTACTTTATTGCTTTCTGTTCTACCCTGAGTCCTAACACACCTCTAATCCCTACACCTTTTCTTGACAGTAGGAGTTGTTAGAGCCTTCAGGCTTGCGTCAGTGTACCGTTGACACTCAGGTTTCTAAATAGTGATGTACACTGCTATAGTTGGATCTGGCGCTGTGCACCGCCGACAGACAGCAGCTGTGGAGCCTTGATTTTCAATAACGCCACAGTTAAGGTATGGCTCCGCCGCCACCGCCGGTCGTGCAGACAGGGCTCGACTTTCATGGCACGAGAAGGGTGGACGGGGACCTTCTCCTGCAAATGCTGTTCCATTCCACGGCGGACTCTCACATTGATGCGGCTAAAATCCGTTATGTGGGCGGGCTTCAACAGCAACCTCGGCGAGTATCTGCGCAGGACACCGGTGCGTTGCAACGACCCGATCTAACATCTGTTTGAGGCATTGTGCGACCCACCCTTGCCCCCTTGCCCAGCATGCTTGTTCGGGGAACTGAGCTCAAGTGAGATGCAAGATGCAAGAAGCAAAATACAGACGCCACGCACTAAAACCCCTCAGCCACTTAAAGCACAAATCCCTAAACCTTGTAATCCGTAAACCCTATAATCCTGAACCCGAATACTCCTAAACCCCTTATCCCTAAACCTAATGCCCTGAACCACAGAAACCCGAGACCGCGCAACAGCGTGGGAGGAGAGCTCCAGCAGAAGAGATTTCGGACGTCGAGGTGGCTTGGCTTATTTTGTTTGTTACATAATTTTAATCAGGATAGGTTTAGGGTTTAGGGTTTGGGGTTTAGGGGGTATAGGGAATCATAACTTTCAACTGGAATAAAGGTTTATGGTGTAGTTGGATATAGAGACGCTAAAAGAACCATAGCTACAATCTGGTATTCTTATTGTTGCAGTTTCCCGTGTTCGGGGTTCAGACATTCGTCATTACCGATCAGTTGTTGTCAGATGTCCGGGTTGAGGCGTTGGGGTTGCGGAATGTTGCAGCGCTTGCATGTGTCGTCGTGTTGGAAGTTATTTGTGCAGCACCCCGCCCAGACCCTAAGGCCTAGGCCCTAAGCCCCATCACCTTCCAGCTTAAGAAAGCCAAAGCCGCCCTTGAATTTTCAAGAACCCCCGAACCCCGAAAGAAAAGGCCTCGTGTTTTGTGTAGGTTTGCGTGCACCGAAAGCTGTCTCAATGGGAAAGGTTCCTTATAGTGGGTCATATCTTTCACGGCATTCCAGCGAAATTCCGATGCTGTTTTGGGAGGTTCCCGGCAAAAAACTGTTGAATTTTGAGACTAGGGGACGATAGTGTTCAGAGTTTACCGTGGTTCCGGTCTTCTTTTTGGAAGGTTCACGGCAAACACACCTTGTTGCGATGAGCCTTCTGACCTAGGCCGTGCCAGCACCGGTTCCAAGACGGCGGCACAGGGCCTGCATCCCAGAAGTGTGCCATCCAAGAGTTTAAGTCCCTAAACCCTAAACCCTAAACCCTAAACCGTCAGTTTAAGATTGATAGGTTTTGGGGTTTCAAGATTTGCGGTTTCAGGATTTAGGTTGGTTGGCTCAAAGACACAGGGTTAGTCTTGGTTCTAAAACAAGCTCTTCGTTTGCGGCTCCCTGTTAGAAGCTTGCAGTCTGTGCAGAGGCCCATTGTGATGGGGTTTAGCTGGAACAAAATCCCCAGGCACCCTACAGCCCAGTCCCCACACTAAGTGCCGAAATGCTGCAAGCCCGGAGCCCGGCTGTGCTTGAGTTTAAGCTCTAACCGGCTTCTCTGCTTTTATGGGGGTTCTTTGGGATAAAGTTTGGTCTAGGTTCTGTAGAAGTTCTATTCAGTTTCCATGAAGATTCTAAAAAATACCCCAAAACGAACCCAATCCATTCAGGGTGGCCGGCCGCCGTCACCGAGTGAGCTGTCCGACCCCTGTATTTTGGGCTCTTGGGCGTTTAGGGGCTTAGGGTTTAGGGCTCAGGGCTGTAAATGGGCGTGAAGGCTCGCAGTGGTTTAGTGGCATGGGGTCTTTCAGTGTTTAGTTTTGAATGGTTGTGGCACGGTTTTTGTCGACACAGGTTCCCAAGGTAAATGTCTGAAGACTTAGTATGAGAGTAACAATGGCTTTCATAGTCCTTCCCAAGCAAGACGCCCCCGGGCCGTTCTTGAAGGTTGTCTTGAGTTTCAGCATGATATTCTCTTAGGATAGAAGAAGAAGTGCAGCTTTCAAAAAGGAGCAGAGTCGAACTGATTGTCCAAGTTACCGGGCTTAGGCTTCCTAGAACAGCGTAGTGCTTTGTGAGGGCCAGGGTTCTTCTGCGTGCGTGGCTTGCACGAAGCTGTATACACCATACTTATGGCTCCTTGCGCTCTTGACTTCACCTCTCCGTCGAGTGTCGGCACCACGAGGGGACCCTGACCCCCAAACCCACAAACTTGAACCCTAACCCTACCTTCAGGAGGAGAAGAACCCTAAAAGTAGGGGCCCTATACCCTTATCCCATGAATTCCTAGAGGGTGTATGAACCTTAAGCCCTTTTCGGGCTGTTTTTGGTCCTTAAGGTACCCTGAAGCGTAGAGGCCTTAACCTGCACCCTCCAACCCACCTATGTCGCACTCTTCTCTTCCCTAAGATGCCATTACAGAGGACCTCATAACTCCAACCCTAAACCCTAAACCCTAAACCTTAAACTCCCCGAGCTCGAAGACTTCCGGAAGCTTGGCACCCAAATCCGCAACCACTGGTAAGGGAGCTAGTAAGTAGAGTTATCATGCGGTTTAGGGTTTAGGGTTTAAGGTTTAGGGGTTAGGGTTTAGGGTTTAGGGCTTCGGGTTGATGTCATCACTACTGCATATTACCCTAACCCAGGTACAGGTGATGCTAGTTCTATGTCCCTTGATCCTCCAAGTGCACCCCCAAGCCTTCGTCGGAATGACGGCCAGCTGCGTGGGTTTCGACATGGAAAGGTTTCAGCTTTAGTAATATAGGGTCTAAATAGTTAGAATAGGGTTTTGGGGCCCAGCATACTATATTTGTAATAAGGAACCTCCAAAATAGTATTGGTAACTATTTAGGCCCCTTTTTTTTGAAGCTTTAAGGAAGCTTCACAGATCAAGGTTGTAGTGGGAACAGGTTCTAAGGCTTGCACGAACAAAGCTAAGCCCCCAAAGACCCCCATTTTGTCAACCGCCGACCGAAATCCAGAAGGCCCCAAAGCCCAAAATCCCATTGCTGGCTTTCCAGTAGCTCTGGTCGCAACCCTGAACCCTAAACCCGTAAACCCCTAAACCCTAAGCCCTTAAACCCCTAAACCCTAAATCCTAAACCCTAAACCCCTAAAGCCCTAAACCTCAAACCGTTAGCCACCCTGAAGCCCTGAACTAGGACCCCTTTTTTAAAAGGAGCACGAAACGCCAAACCGCGGATCAAGGTAGTTCTCTAAATTAGGGTCCCTGTTCAGGTCCCCAATATAGTACGGCACCCTTATAAAAAAGGACCCTAAACCCTAAACCTCAAACCCTAAAAGGAGAACTACGCATCAAGGCTGGCCCTAAACCCTAAACCCTAATTTAGAGAACTACGCATCAAGGCTGGTGCCCACCGAGAAGCCGTCCCCGACTTCCCCGGGCCCGGCTCACGCCTTGGCAGCGGCGGCAGGTTTTGGGGCCAGCTCTTACAGAGTTTGGGTTTAGGGTTGAGGGTTTAGGGTTCCATCTGGGATTAGGACTTAATATAGGGGCCTTAATTAATAGTTTGAACAGGGTTTGGGGGGTTCCAAATTAGAGTTATAGTATTCATAATTATAATATAATATCCCCCAAACTCTATTAAAATTATGAACCCTAAACCCTAAACCCCTAAACCCTAAACCCCTAAACCCTAAACCCTAAACCCTAAACCCTAAACCCCCCCTTTGTTACAGAGCTTCGGAGGCCTACGGGGCTTTGGAGCTGGGAATAGGACTTAATATCAGGGGCCATAATAATTAGAATAGGGTTTGGGGTTTAGGGTTTAGGGTTTAGGGTTTAGTGTTTGGGGTTTAGGGTTTAGGGTTTAGGGTTTAGGGTTTAGGGTTTGGGGGTATCTGATACTATAATTATAATTACGAAGGCCCCAAAATCCTATTGACATTATTAAGACCCCTACATTCGAGTGGGCTTCTGGGGGAATCACCGCAAGATGCTTACGGAAGGTGTTGATTTCTACGCGGTTCCGTATGGCATGCATGTAAGATCGAACAGGGCTTAGTCGATGGGAGCATCACAGGCCGGAAAACGGTTTAGGGTTTAGGGTTTAGGGGTTTAGGGTTTACTACAGAATTTTTGAGCAGACGATTCCTTGCTACAGATCTCTTGCCTTCTATTCGCTAGGATCAAAATGCGGTTCACTAGGCTTGACAAGGGCACTTCGAGGAATGCTCCTTACCTTAAAACTTTCGGGAGCATAGTTCCTGAGCTCCTAAACACCCTAAACCCTAAACCCTAAACCCTGAACTCCTAAACAACTACATCCTAAACCCTAAACCCAGAACTCCTAAACCCCTAACCCTAAACCCATACCTACATTTCCAATCCCAGAACCCAGGAAACCTTCAGAGCATGATGTCCCGCTGTAATCCGGATCTCCCACGAAGTTACTATAGGGACTTTAATGATTACCTATATGATTTTGGGGTTTCCCTATCAATATAGCATAATATACCGCAAAACTTCT